TGTTTTGTGTTTCCTTGTATATCAGATTCCTGACTGGAAATAAAGCATTACATGGAATTCTGGTTTGTGAGAAAACCAAGTTTGCCAGTTCTGGCATTCATTAGCTGGCTGTGTGCAAGAGTAGAATGGGATGCCCTGGATCATTCACATTGGAGCTGACATTTGGAGGTGCTTCTGGTTCACAGGACATTCAATGTAATAAATATGGGAACCTTGCAGATTAATAACATTTGGCTGCTGTTAAATATGCATATTTTTGATTGTTGACTTTATATTTACCTTTCAAATATTTTATTGCAACCCATTAGATTCCCTCAGTTGATATAATTTTCAAATGTTTCATTTAGTTAATATTGGCATTTGATTATGGTCTGATGAGAGGAAAATATTGTATTAATATGCATAAATGTTTTAGATACATGCTAGTGAAAGCACCTCTATACGTTCAGGGAAATTTCCAGATGGCACACTTTGCACAGATAAATTTTTAGAGATTTTGAAAAGCTGAAACCATTTGACCTTAAAAGCTAGGACACATTGCAAATTTCTGTGGAGTGGTCCATACTGTATGCATGTTTGCAAAATTTAAGACACATTGCCCTGCATTTTCTTCCTCCTCCTGAACCATTGTTTTTCTCCTGCTCTATAGAGCTGTGGAGCTCACACCTACAATTAGCAGCAGAAAATATTCTCTTATATAGGCCCCACAGGCCTCATGAATAAGCATAACATTTCAGGTATTTATTTTGCTGGCACAGACAAATTAATACATTTTAATGAACTTTCAGGGGGATATTTTAAATTACCACTGCCGTCTGAGGTGGCTTTGGCTAGATGTTTATTTGAAAAAAAATCTAAGTAAAAAACAGAGCTGGGGGGTGGAATTAAGTGTCCTCTTGAACTCACCCCAATGCTTTCAAACTAGTTCACTAGTGTTCTAAGTCCAAATCAGCTACTGCTTTGCCACTGATTTTTTTCCCACAGTTCAAATTGTTCTCTTCTCTTTATGTAAAGCGATGAAGCTGTCACAGAGGCAGTGAGATCTGAGTTGCCAACATCCAAGTGGGACCTTTTGGGAAAGTCATTTGTTTGAGAGATCTCAAAGGAATAAGCTTCTTCCTTGCAAAAAAAAAAATCCATTCAGCTTCTGAAAATTCTCCTTTCTTGCCAAAAGCCTACAGGAGCTGGTGATCTTCGAGTGGTCATCTCTGCATTCACACCCATGGGATCTAGAGTGCACACGCTGGATCGATCGGTCCTGTAGCAAGCTCTTTTAATGGGTTTTTGCACTCAAACCTCAGGCATGCGCAGGAACCCCAACGCGCATGCCCAGAGGGGAGGGCGCGGACATCCCGCCAGTTCCTTCAAACCACCGCAGATCAACCCCTATTGCAAATGTAGAAGCTGACAGCAGCAGGGAAGGCGGGCGGGTGGTGTGAATGCACAGATGACCACTCGAAGCTCACCAGATACAGGTAAGCAACCTGTTTATCTTCAACGTGGTCTCTGTGCTTCACACCCATGGGAGATTAGAGAGCAGTGGCCTACCTGGAGGAGGGTGCTGGCAGGTCCTTTACTGCGTAGCCGAAGACAGAATGTGACGTCCCATGCTGGTATTGGTGTTCTTACGGACGTCTAGGGCGTAGTGCCTAATGAAGGTGTTAGGTGT